GCATCCCCAAACTACGGCCCACGGGCCGCATGTGGCCCCCCTGTGGCCATTTATCCGGCCCCCTGCCACACTTCAGGAAGGAGCACCTTTTTCATTGGTAGTCAGTGAGAGGAGCACAGTATGTGGCGGCCCTCCAACGGTCTGAGGGACAGTGAACTGGCCCCTGTGTAAAAAGTTTGGGGACGCCTGCTCTACGCTCTGCTGCGTGATGTCCACCTCCATTCCCCAAATAAGGACAAACCATACGTTCCTTGGCACCCTCTCTCTGCTTTTAAGTGCCAGGTACTTACATAGATGATCTCATTTCATCTTCAGAGCAACCCCAAGAGATGGCTGTGAGGGTCAGCCACCTGTGAGAGGTGGGGAAGCTGAGGAAGGAGCAGTGGGTGCTTACCCCGGATTACCCAGCAATGAAGGCCGACTGAGGACTTCAACTCAAGCAGGCTGGCTCTGTCACCCATAGCCACAGTGCCATCCTGCCTGGGCCCCAGCTGACTTCTTCTAGGACCTGCCTGCCCCCACCACCCTCCCTCATCTGGCATCTGATATCCTCCTTCCTCTCTGCCTTTCCATATCCAATTCCTTGGAAGCCCTAGTCCTCAGAGAGGAAGCTAATGAAGCATTGATTCACACAGCTTCCCCATCCAGCCCAAGGGTATGATGAAGAAGAAAAGCCACTCAGCAGCAAAGAGGTCAGCCTTTTGCCCCTTGATTAGAGCGAAAGATCCTCAGCCTTGCCAGAGGTCACCAATCAGAGGTTCAAAGGCGGCCATCAATTTCTTGATGAGGTATCAGATAGATGATTCATTTATTCTTTTTTTTTTTTTTTGAGACGGAGTTTCACTCCTGTTACCCAGGCTGGAGTGCAATGGCGCGATCTCGGCTCACCGCAACCTCCGCCTCCTGGGTTCAGGCAATTCTCCTGCCTCAGCCTCCCGAGTAGCTGGGATTACAGGCACGTGCCACCATGCCCAGCTAATTTTTTGTATTTTTAGTAGAGACGGGGTTTCACCATGTTGACCAGGATGGTCTCGATCTCTCGACCTCGTGATCCACCCGCCTCGGCCTCCCAAAGTGCTGGGATTACAGGCTTGAGCCACCACGCCCGGCCGATTCATTTATTCTATAGATTGTTTATTGGATGTCTTCAGTGGGATAGACATTGTGAACAAAGTGGGCAAAATGCCATGCACTCATAGAGTGTTCATTTTAGCCAGGGGAGAAAGACAACCAAAAAACAACAAAAATAGATAAATCTTTTGTGTGTCTGAACATGATAAATACTATGGAGAAAAACAAAACCAAGAAAGAAGATAGGGAGGCAGGCAGGGCTGGGGTGTTTTTTTTTTTTTTTTTTAGGAGACTGGGTCTCGCTAGGCATGGTGGCTCACACCTGTAATCCCAGCACTTTGGGAGGTCAAGGTGGGCGGATCACAAGATCAAGAGATCAAGACCATCCTGGCCAACATGGTGAAACCCTGTCTCTACTGAAAAAAAAAAAAACAAAAGAATAACTGGATGTGGTGGCGGATGCCTGTAATCCCAGATGCTTAGGAGGCCGAGGCAGGAGAATTGCTTCAACCTGGGAGGCAGAGATTGCAGTGAACCAAGATTGCACCATTGCACTCCAGCCTGGGCAACAAGAGTGAAACTCTAACTCAAAAAAAAAAAAAAAAAAGAGAGAGAGAAGAGAGAGAGAGACAGGGTCTCACTCTGTTGTCTAGGCTGAAGTTCAGTGTGCAATCAAAGTTTACTATAGCCTTCTACTGCTGGGCTCCAGACATCCTCCTGCCTCAGCCTCTTGAGTAGCTAGCTTGACTACAAGCATGTGCCACCATGCCTAAGTTTTGTTGTTATTGTTGTTGTTTTTGAGACAGAGTCTCACTCTGTTGCCCAGGCTGGAGTGCAGTAGCACATTCTTGGTTCACTGCAGCCTCTGACTCCCGGGTTCAAGTGATTCTCTTGCCTCAGCCTCCTGAGTAGCTGGAACTACAGGTATGCACCACCACGCCCAGCTAATTTTTGTATTTTTAGTAGAGACAGGGTTTCATCATGTTGGCTAGACTGGTCTTGAACGCCTGACCTCAAGTGATCTACATGCCTCAGCCTCCCAAAGTGCTGGGATTACAGGTATGAGCCACCATGCCAGGCCCTCGCTAACTTTTAAAACATTTTTGTAAAGTTTTTTAAATTTTACAAAATGTTTTAAATTTTGTAAAATAGGAGCCCGGGGTCTCCCTATGTTGACGAGACTGGTCTCAAACTCCCAGCCTCAAGCGATGCTCCCTAGGCCTTCCAAAGTGCTAGGATTATAGGTATGAGCCACTGTGCCCAGGCTGTTTTTAAGATGAGAGATATGCTCATGTAACTAATCAAGTAACAATGAAATTTTTGAGAAGAGAGAGAGTTGCTAGAGCAGTGTACTTGGATAGGTGAGATGGGAGGGGATTCAGTGCCCAAGCAGAGGGGTTGGAGAAGCTCCAGAGCTCAGCCGGTCATCTGCAGTAACAGGAGAGAGAAGGCAGAGGGTTTAGGTGTGGAGGCTGGTGGGTGGGTGCAGAAGTGAGACATCGGAGGGAGTCTTCATCTGGTTGTTTTCATTTTCTCAGTGAAATGGGAGGCAAGATACTCTGCCGAGTGAGGAGTGGAAAGGAGGTGAAGGTTTGTTGAGAGAAAAGGTATAAAATATTCCTCTGAGCCGGGCGCCTTGTAATCCCAGCACTTTGGCAGGCGGAGGTGAGTGGATCACGAGGTCAGGAGTTTGAGACCAGCCTGACCAACATGGTGAAACCCATCTCTACTAAAAGCACAGAATTTAGCTGGGCTTGGTGGTGGGTACCTGTAATCCCAGCTACCAGGGGGCTGAGGCAGGAGACTCATTTGAACCTGGGAGGCAGAGGTTGCAGTGAGCTGAGATCACGCCACTGCACTCCAGCCTGGGCAACAGAGCAAGACTCTGTCTCAAAAAAAAAAAAAAAAAAAAAAAATTCCTCGGGGAAAGAAGAGTGAGTCAACTTAGGAAAGATAATATGATTGTCAGGGAACACTAGGGCCCACATGAAGTTCATGATCGGTAATTTAGAGCAGAGTTTCTCAATCTCAGCATTATTGACATTTTAGGTCAGTTAACTCTTTGTTGTGGGGAGCTGGCCAGTGACCTACAGAATGCTTAACATCCCTGACCTCTCTACTCACTAAATACCTGAGCACCTACCCTCAGGTGTGATAATGAAAATGTCTCCAAACACTGATGTCCCTGGTGTGGACGGTAGTGGGAAGGGGTGCCAGGTACAAAACTGACCTCTGTGGAGAACCACCGATTTAGACTGAGAACAGTCAGTGTGTCTGTTAATCAGCACAGGTGCATACTCGGAATAGACGGAGGGTTGGATTTTTATCAAGATTGTGGTTCTGCCAAGCTAGAAGAACAACGCAAAAGGGGCCAAGAGAGTTGAGAGTTTCTGAAAGAAAGTGATTGTAAGCTGGGCACAGTGGCTCATGCCTGTAATCCAAGCACTTTGGGAGGCCAAGGTGGGCAGATCACAAGATCAAGAGATGGAGACCATCCTGGCCAACATGGCGAAACCCCTTCTCTACTAAAAATACAAAATTTAGCTGGACATGGTGGAACACACCTATAGTCCCAGCTACTCAGGAGGCTGAGATTGCACCACTGCACTCCAGCCTGCTGACATAGCAAGACTCCATCTAAAAAAAAAAAAAAAAAAGAGTGATTGTAATGACTGATCACAAAATTTAATCTGGGTAAAGAGGGGAGAGAAAACATCAAGGGATGAGGAAGAGAGAAAAGACAGAATTATCAATGGACTAGATATCCCCATGAAACTGAAGGGTTGCTGGAATTATTATTTTTTTTTGAGACAGAGTTTCACCCTTGTTACCCAGGCTGGAGTGCAATGGCGTGATCTTGACTCACCGCAACCTCCGCCTCCTGGGTTCAGGCAATTCTGCTGCCTCAGCCTCCTGAGTAGCTGGGATTACAGGCACGCGCCACCATGTCCAGCTAATTTTTTGTATTTTTAGGAGAGACGGGGTTTCACCATGTTGACCAGGATGGTCTTGATCTCTTGACCTCGTGATCCACGTGCCTCGGCCTCCCAAAGTGCTGGGATTACAGGTGTGAGCCACCGTGCCCAGTGGGTTGCTGGAATTATAATTCTGCAAGAGGTGAGCTATGAAAATGAGAGGTGGTGGCCAGAGTGAAACTGAGAATATTAAGGTGTTCAGTGTTTGGTAATGACAAGGTTTAAGACATGACCAATGGAATCTGTAGTCTATGTGGAGGACAAGCCCCACCGAAGTCTTAACAAATGGTTTTTTCAGTCACATCCTTGATTTCATAGATCTTCTCTTTGCCTGGAAATGATTTCTTTTGTTTTGTTGTATTTCAAGTCTATAGGTTTTTTTTTTTTTTTTTTTTTTTTTTTTTGAGACAAGGTCTTGCTCTGTCACCCATGCTGGAGTACAGTCATGTCTCACTGCAGCCTTAACTTCCTGGCTCAATTGATCCTCCTGCGTCAGCCTCCCCAAATCACACCTGGGATTACAGGTGTAGGACAATGTCCCACCATAAGCATCTTTGGACATTTGATACTATTGACTACTTCTACCTTGAGATTTCTGCTTCTTGGGTCTCTCTGACACCATCTCCCTCGTTTATGTTTTCTCCCTACCTAGCTGATCTCATCTTCTCAATCGACTAGCCCTTCTTTCTCCATTTAGCCCCTAAACATACAGAAGCTCTCTCCCTGCACTGTTTTCCCCTGTTTTTTGTTTTCGTTTTTTTTTTTTGAGATGGAGTTTCGGTCTTGTTGCATCACTCCTCTCAGAATGCAATGGCACCATCTCAGCTCACGGCAACCTCTGCCTCCAGGTTCAAGTAATTCTCCTGCCTCAGCCTCCCAAGTAGCTGGGATTATAGGCATGCACCACCATGCCTGGCTAATTTTGTATTTTTGTTTGTTTGTTTGTTTTTTTGTAATGTCAGGCTATAAACCATTCCCAGTGCTCACTGGCCCCGGAGCACTGAGTGTAGAAATCGTCACTTTCTCTCTGCCCCAATAATTTTGTATTTTTAGTAGAGACGAGGTTTCTCCATGTTGGGCAGGCTGGTCTTGAACTCCCTACCTCAGGTAGAACGCCCACTTTGGCCTCCCAAAGTGCTGGGATTACAGGTGTGAGCTACCGCCCCGGCCTCCATTGTATTTTTCTACACATTTTTCCCATGTGTAGACTTTAAGTTCAAACTATTGAAGTCAGCCATCATTTAAATGCTTTATGACCCTAAAATCTACTTGTTGATCCAAGCCTCCCTCCTGAACATGTGCCTACAGAACATCTCAGGCCCCTCAAAGTGCAGTGATCAGATCAGCATCTCCAGCCCCTAAGCTGCAATTCCTCCTGAAGACGGGAGCTGGTCCACCCAGCCACACGTCAGACTCTCTGTTACCTTGACTCTGCCCTCCCCTTCACCTCTCACAAGTCCTGCCCTTAGGACTGTAATGTCTCCTGACCCCTTGCTCCACCCCAGTCCTCATCTCCTCTGTCACCACTGCTACTCATCCCCTTTTCATGGGAACTGTAACAGCTTTCTGGGTGAAACCCTTTCTTCAATACTCTCCCATCATGCTACCCTCCACGTTGCCATCAGTGAGACATTAGACTCTTTTACCCTACATTTCATGATCTACAAATCTCTCAGCCTCATTTCTGGCCACGCTTGCCCGGAATGCTAGGCTCCTATCCTATTCAATTTCTTACCGTCCTCTGTTTAATTCGTAACATTTCATGCATCTTGACCTTTGCACGTGATGTTCTTTCTGCCTAGGTGACCCCCATCTCTGTGCCCCAGTGAGTTCCTCATCTTCCTGGAACACACACGCACCTGCTTCCAGAGTCTGTGTTCTTCTCTGTGGTTTCAATGTCACTATATATACTTTGTCATACAATTATTCCCATTATGTGTTAAGCGTCTGTTTACTCATATAACTTCAAGAGGGGAGAGTCCTTGTCTTGGTTTCTTTTATATCATCAATGCCTGGCACAAAGCAGATTCTTCAATGAATCATCATTCTTAATGAAGGCATAGTATTCCATATTGGAAATAGATGAGTCATACTTTGGTTAACTTGTTCCAAATATAGATATGTTGTTTATTTCACTTTTTTTGAATTTACTGTTTATTTTTCAAAAAGAAGAAAGCCTTTTCCTTTTTTTTTTTTTTTTTTGAGACAGAGTCTCACTCTGTCACCCAGACTGGAGTGCAATTGCACGATCTCGGCTCACTGCAACCTCCACTTCCTGGGTTCAAGCGATTCTCCTGCCTCAGCCTCCCAAGTAGCTGGTACTATAGGCATGAGCCACCATGTCTGGCTAAGTTTTGTATTTTTTTTTTTTTTTTTTTTTAATAAAGACAGGCTTTCACCATGTTGGTCAGGCTGGTCTTGAACTCCCGACCTCAGGTGATCCGCCCAGCTTGGCCTCCAAAGTGCTTGGGTTACAGGTGTGAGCCACCACGCCTGGCCAAGTTTTGTGGTGTTTTTTTTTAACTGAAATGGGGTTTCACCATATTGGACAGGCTGGTCTAGAACTCCTGACCTCGTGATCTGCCTGCCTCGGCCTCCCAAAGTGCTGGGATTACAAACGTGAGCCACCACGCCCAGCCTGGAAGCATTTCCTTCTTCTTTTTTTCCCTTCTGACTACATCCTACGCGATGTCCTCTTTTTTATTTTAACAGAAATACAGGCTTTTTGTAAAAGAAAATTTAGTCAACATGGAAAGACATAAAAACAAAAGTAAAAATTATGCATCATGTCATTGTCCAAATGTAGTTGTTGTTATTAAGCTGATATACATCCTCCCTGACTTTCTTTTTCTTTTTTTTTTTCTTTGAGATGGAGTCTCGCTCTGTTGTCCAGGCTGGAGTGCGGTGTTGCAATCTCCACCCACTCTGCCTCCCAGGTTTAAGCCATTCTCCTGCCTCAGCCTCCAGAGTAGCTGGGATTTCAGGTATACATCACATACCCAGCTAATTTTTGTATTTTTAGTAGAGATGAGGTTTCACCTCGTTGGCCAGGCTGGTCTCGAACTCTTGACTGCCTTCCTTGGCCTCCCCAAATGCTACAATTACAGGCTTGAGCCACCTTGCCTAACCCCAGACTATTTTCTATGCACTCATATACCCATAGTTATTTCTACATTTTATTTTATTTATTTTTTATTTTTTATTTTTTTTTTTTTTGAGACGGAGTTTCACTCTTGTTACCCAGGCTGCAGTGCAATGGCGCGATCTCGGCTCACCACAACCTCCGCCTCCTGGGTTCAGGCAATTCTCCTGCCTCAGCCTCCTGGGTAGCTGGGATTACAGGCACACGCCACCATGCCCATCTAATGTTTTGTATTTTTAGTAGAGACGGCATTTCACCATGTTGACCAGGATGGTCTCGATCTCTTGACCTTGTGATCCACCTGCCTCGGCCTCCCAAAGTGCTGGGATTACAGGCTTGAGCCACCCCACCCGGCCTATTTCTACATTTTAAAATCAAAATTGAGAAATACTGTGCATGGTGTTTTGCAATCAGCCTTTTTCACTTGACAGTATGGAATGTCATTAACAATATCCCATGTCATTCATTACTCACAGATCATTATTTATAATGACTGAATAGTGTTTCATTTTATGGCTAGGACAATTTATTCAACAGATTCCCTTTCTTTAGATTTTTTTTTTTTTTTTTTTTTTTGTTGTTGAGACGGAGTTTCGCTCTTGTTACCCAGGCTGGAGTGCAATGGCGCGATCTCAGCTCACCGCAACCTCCACCTCCTGGGCTCAGGCAATTCTCCTGCCTCAGCCTCCTAAGTAGCTGGGATTACAGGCATGCACCACCACGCCCAGCTAGTTTTTTTGTATTTTTAGTAGAGACGGGGTTTCACCATGTTGACCAGGATAGTCTCGATCTTTCGACCTCGTGATCCACCCGCCTCGGCCTCCCAAAGTGCTGGGATTACAGGCTTGAGCCACCGCGCCTGGCTAGATTTTTTAAAAATGGAAATGGGGTCATACACTTTGTCCAGGCTGGTCTCAGACTCCAGGGCTCAAGCAATCCTCTCACCTTGAGCTCCCAAAGCACTGGGAGACATTTTGATTGTTACCAAGATGCTATGACTCTCCATGTAGATACACCTCTGTACACTTATCTGATTATCTGCTTAAAATATATCCCTAATGTTGAATACTTGGGTTGGGGACTTGTACATTTTTAAAGCTTCGGCCACTTATTCTCTAGGAGCGCTGAACGTGCCATCGTCTACTAGCAATGGAAGATGGTGCCAATCTCCCCACACCCTTGTCAATATTGTTAATAAATATTTCATTTTTGTTAGTGTGGGATGAGAGAGAAATGGTCATGTGTTCATACCCTTTGAGAGAATGTTAAGTAACTTTAAGGTCTCCAAAGATAATCACAGGATAGTTGTGTAATAGGTGTTTTTTGAATGAAGGAATGGATGAGTGAAGACAAACGCATCAAGATAACGCAGCATTTGGGATAAACTCTGGACTTGGGTCAGATACTAGCTTCAAATCCTGGTTCTATCACCTAAAGTTTGTACCCTTGTAGAAAAGTCATGTAACTTTATTAAATTTTCTTTTACTCAGTTGTGTATTGAAGATCAGCATTTCTACCTCATACAATTGTTGTGAGGTTAATGAAATACTGTTTTATATTTGTTTATTTATTTTGAGGCAGAGTCTTGCTCTGTCACCCAGGCTGGAGTGCAGTGGCACGATTTCAGCTCACTACAGCCTACGCCTCCTGGGTTCAATCCATTCTCCCGCCTCAGCCTCCTGAGTAGCTGGGACTACAGGCATGTGCCGCCACATCCAGTTAATATTTGTATTTTTGTTTTCACCCTGTTGGCCACGCTGGTCTCGAACTCCTGACCTTGTGATCCGCCCACCTCAGCTCCCCAAAGTGCTGGGATTAAAGGTGTGAGTCACCGCACCTGGCCTGAATACTGTCTTAAAAATTGCTAAAAGCGCTGGGCACGGTGGCTCACGCCTGTAATCCCAGCACTTTGGGTGGCCAAGGTGGGCAAATTACCTGAGGTTGGGAGTTTGAGGCCAGCCTGACCAACATGGTGAAACCCCACCTCTACTAAAGACACAGAATTAGCCAGGCATGGTGGCACATGCCTGTAATTCCAGCTACTCAGGAGGCTGAGGAAGGCGAATTGCTTGAACCCAGTAGGTGGAGGTTGTAACCAGCCAAGATCGCACAATTGCACTCCAGCCTGGGCAACAAGAGTGAAACTCCATCTCAAAAAAACTTCCAAAAATGCTAAAACCATTAAAAATACTTTTCTATGGCAAAAAATTCAAATAGTCCCATAGGTTCTATTATAAAAAGTCTCCTTCTAGTGAGAAGGAGACTCACTCACGTTCAGCGCTCCTCTGACTTCCATTTCTATTCCAGAAGTAACGCAATTCAACAGGTTTTTTTTTGTTTCCTTCCAGAGATTCTCTCCTTTTTGTCACTCACACATACACACACAGTAAACTATGTACACTGCTCTACATCTCCTTTTTTCACTTACTCTGTTTTGGAGATTAATCCACATAAATTCATGCAGAATCACCTATTTTTTTCAGTGCACTGTAATTTTTTAACTACTTCTCTATTAGCAGAGATTTAGGCATCGTGCATAAGATTGAGGCATAAGCTCTGAAATCAGACTGCTTGAATCTGAGTACTGGCTCACAATTTACTAGCTGTGAAATCTTGAGCAACTGACTGACATTCTTTGTGCCTTAGTTTTCTCATCAACAAAATGGAAATGACATAGACCCATATCAAAAGGCAGTTGTGAGGATTCAGTTTGCATCTGTAAAACACTAACAACATCTGACACCTAGGACAACTTAATAGAATGACTTTTTTTTTTTTTTTTTTTTTTTTTTTGAGAGGGAGTCTCCCTCTGTTGCCCAGGCTGGAGTACAGTGGTGTGATCTCAGCCCACTGCAACCTCTGCCTCCCAGGTTCAAGCAATTCTGCCTCAGGCTTCCAAGTAGCTAGGATTACAGGCACGTGCCACGACACCTGGCTAATT